TCCCCCACAGTGGTGGATGTCTCCATCCCAGCCCCACAATCATCTCTGATCCATCCCCACTCTGGGAAGCATCTTCATCCCATCTACATCCCAGAGAACTCCTCTGCCCTGCAGAACATCTCCATCCCAGCTCCAGCCTGGAGAACATCTCCATCCCAGCCCCACCCTGGAGAACATCTCCATCCCAGCCCCAGCCTGGAGAACATCTCCATCCCAACACAAGCCTTCTCCACCCCAGACCCACCCTGGAGAACATCTCCATCCCAGCTCCAGCCTGGAGAACATCTCCATCCCAGCCCCAGCCTGGAGAACATCTCCATCCCAACACCAGCCTGGAGAACATCTCCACCCCAGCCCCAGCCTGGAGAACATCTCTGTCCCAACTTCATCCTGGTGAACATCATCATCCCAACTCCAGCCCTACCCTAGCAAACATCTCTGTCCCAGCCCCATCATGGAGGACATCTCCATTCCAGCCACAGCCCAGAGGACATCATCCCAACTCCAGACCCAGTGCAGACGTTTCTGTCCCTGCACCAGCCTGGAGTTCACCTCCATCCCAACCCCATCTCACCCCCTGTGGGTGCCCCATGCCCACTGGGCACATCCCTGGCCAGCCCCTGGGTGATGGGGCTGGATGGATCCTCTCCACTCACCTCTTGTGGATCTTCTCCTCCAGGTTCTCAGCACAGAAAGCTTTGACCTCATAGTCCACACCACAGGCCTGGGAACAAGGAGAAGGCAGAGAAGGAGGCAGAGAAACCCCTTTGCACCCCCTCAAGAGGTGACTCCAGCGTCTGGTCACCACGGACAAGGACGGGTGGACTTTACCTTCCCCGTGTCCTCGGGGCCTGGCTGCAGCGTGACGGAGCAGGGCAGGTTGGGGGGGATCTGGGGAGAAAGGGGGGGTTAGAAGCAGGATGGGGCCCTCAAACCAGCTTTTAGCCCTGGGGACCTAAAGGAACATCTCATGATTTCCCCACTGGTGGCTCCTTTTGGTCTTGAGTTTTAGGATCACGGAATCCTGGAATGGGTTGGGTTAGGTTGGAAACCCCCGTGTGCTGGGCACATCCCCAGAGCGGGAGCAGCAGGTCAGGGAGGGGATCCTGCCCCTCTGCTGTGCTCTGGGGAGACCCCCCCTGCAGCACTGGTGCAGTTCTGGTGTCCTCAGCATAGGACATGGAGCTGTTGGAGCAAGGCCAGAGGAGGCCACAAGGATGATCAGGGGCTGGAGCAGCTCCCATATGGAGACAGGCTGAGAACATTGGGGCTGTTGAGCCTGGAGAAGAGAAGCTGCTGGAGACCTCAGAGCAGCTTCAGTGTCTGAAGGGGGCTACAAGGATGCTGGGGAGGGACCTTCATCAGGGTCTGGAGTGACAGGACAAGGGGTGATGGGTTCAAACTGAAACAGGGGGAGTTCAGGTTGGATTGA